CCTTCAAGGCAGAGTGATATAGGTCTCACAGTAAAAAGTGAGAAATGCCTAGCGCAACATATAGCCTCTCCTCTGCAGCTCATCCCCGCCTTCTCGTGGTGTTGGCTGTTTTCGCCAATGGGGCAACTGAGTCGGGGCGAACGTCCAGCGCCCTAGAAATTAAACTGGACAAAAATTGCCGTGGGGTTTAAACTACTTCTCCAAAACACCCGGTCAGTATAGAGCACTATATATTTTCAACCATATGGCATAAATATAAAGATATACTCTATTTTTAAATGTCCTCCATACGTTATAAAAGAGAAGTTGTTCATAAATACGAGGGTATAGTTTAAAGGGTATGAAAAAGTAGCATAAAGCCAATGAACCCTTGCTTCCCCAATTCTTATTCCAAAGTATCTATTTTGTAAAATATAATTTTTAGATTCTGTTTTATTGTTAGGGGCAGTCTTTCGCTAAAATATTTAACAGTCCCATACCCAGAATGAATAATCTGAAATAACAGTCCTAGTAGAAAATATAAATTGTCTTGATTACCCAATTTTTTTAGTCATAGTAAAATGACATCCTCCATCTCATCCCCACCTTTTTTGTCGATGCCAATCGTCTAATACAGACGGGGCAAAAAATAAATATAATTTATAAACAGATGATTCAACTACAAACATAAATTAGATACTGTAGTTAAAAACAAAAACCCTTTAAGTTATACATTCGTTTGAAAGCACACTTTAAATATTTTGCTACAGGATACAAATAAGAACGAATAGTGAAGGAGAATTATGCTGAATATTTTAAAATCAACAGGTCATGGAAAGAAAAAAATAAAGCAATGTGCAGTATTTAAGATTTGATTATTTACGTTGTTGTAATGTTGTTGGAAGAACCCGACTCAAATATTTGCCATATCAAAACATTGATAGTTTGTTGAAATTTTCCAGATTTAATAAGATTTCATAAAACACCTATCAAGCTCTTATAAGGGGCACAATAGCAATGTTCATCTTTAGCTTGATCGGCTTTTTCTTATTTCATCATATACATAATATCAAACTATAGGATGAACTAAAAAGGTAATACTAATTTTGGATAGAAAGTTGATAATGTCTAAATTTTATACACTTTAAACAATTCTATTTTTGCCTCCGATTGAGCAATGATCCGTAGTGTTCATTTTTAAGTTGATCGACATTTTTTATTTATTTTATACGATCGCAACACTTTTCTATTTAACTCCAAATTGGCGATCCTCCATAATGCTGAACTTTAGTGTCATTTAAATTTATCACTTTATTCAACAACTCTCTTTTTCGCCACCATTGAGTATCAAGCTTTAAGTTTATTTAAGAAGGGCAAACTGAATGCTTAAAGTTTGCTGAAAATGTCTAAATTTTATACGATTTCAACAACTCTCTATTTGGCTATGTTTGAGTATCGAGCTATAAGTTTAACTAAGAGGGACACACTGAATTCTGAAAGTTTGTTGGAAATGTCTAAATTTTATACAATTTCACCAACTCTCTTTTTGGCCACTTTTGAGTATCAAGCTATAAGTTTAACTAAGAAGGGCACACTGAATTCTGAAAGTTTGTTGGAAATGTCTAATTTTTATACGTTTTCAACAACACTCTAGTTGGTCACTATTGAGTATCAAGCTATAAGTTTAACTAAGAGGGGCACACTGAATTCTGAAAGTTTGTTGGAAATGTCTAATTTTTATACGTTTTCAACAACACTCTAGTTGGTCACTATTGAGTATCAAGCTATAAGTTTAACTAAGAGGGGCACACTGAGTTCTGAAAGTTTGTTGGAAATGTCTAATTTTTATACGTTTTCAACAACTCTCTAATTGTCTACGATTGAGTTTCAAGCTATAAGTTTAACTAAGAAGGACTCTGTAAGTTTGTTGAAAATGTCTAAATTTTATACGATTTCAACAACTCTCTAGTTGGCCACTATTGAGTATCAAGCTATAAGTTTAACTAAGAGGGACACACTGAATTCTGAAATTTTGTTGGAAATGTCTAAATTTTATACGATTTCACCAACTCTCTAGTTGGCCACTATTGAGTATCAAGCTATAAGTTTAACTAAGAGGGACACACTGAATTCTGGAAGTTTGTTGGAAATGTCTAAATTTTATACGATTTCACCAACTCTCTAGTTGGCCACTATTGAGTATCAAGCTATAAGTTTAACTAAGAGGGGCACACTGAATTCTGAAAGTTTGTTGGAAATGTCTAATTTTTATACGTTTTCAACAACACTCTAGTTGGTCACTATTGAGTATCAAGCTATAAGTTTAACTAAGAGGGGCACACTGAATTCTTAAAGTTTGTTGGAAATGTCTAATTTTTATATGTTTTCAACAACTCTCTAATTGTCTACGATTGAGTATCAAGCTATAAGTTTAACTAAGAAGGACTCTGTAAGTTTGTTGAAAATGTCTAAATTTTATACGATTTCAACAACTCTCTATCTGGCCACCATTGAGTATTAAGCTGTAAGTTGATATCGGAAGGGCACACTGAATTCTGAAAGTTTGTTGAAAATGTCTAAATTTTATACGATTTCATCAACTCTCTATTTGGGCACCATTGAATATCAAGCTGTAAGTTGATATAGGAAGGGCACACTGAATTCTGAAAGTTTGTTTAAAATGTCTATATTTTATACGATTTCAACAACTCTCTTTTTGGCCACCTTTGAGTATCAAGCTATAAGTTTAACTTAGAAGGGCACACTGAATTCTGAAAGTTTGTTGAAAATGTCTAAATTTTATACGATTTCAACAACTCTCTATTTGGGCACCATTGAGTATCAAGCTATAATTTTAACGAAGAGGGGCACACTGAATTCTGAAAGTTTGTTGAAAATGTCTAAATTTTATACGATTTCAACGACTCTCTAGTTGGCCATTATTGAGCATGAAGCTATAAGTTTAACTAAGAGGGGCGCACTGAATTCTGAAAGTTTGTTGAAAATGTCTAAATTTTATACGATTTCAACAACTCTCTATTTGGTTACGATTGAGTATCAAGGTATCAGTTGAACTAAGAAGGGCACACTGAAATAGGAAAGTTTGTTGAAAATGTCTAATTTTTATACGATTTCAACAACTCTCTATTTGGCCACCTTTGATTATCAAGCTATCAGTTAAACTAAGAGGGGCACACTGAATTCTGAAAGTTTGTTGAAAATGTCTAAATTTTATACGATTTCAACAACTCTCCATTTGGCTACCATTTAGTATCAAGCTATAAGTTAAACTCGGAAGGGCACGCTGAATTAAGAAAGTTTGTTGAAAATGTCTAACTTTTATACGATTTCAACAACTCTCTAGTTGGCCACTATTGAGTATCAAGCTATGAATTTAACTAAGAGGGGCAAACTGAATACTGAAAGTTTGTTGAAAATTTCTAAATTTTATACGATTTCAACAACTTTCTATTAAGCTATGATTGAGTATGAAGCTACAAATTTAACAAAGAGGGCACACTGTATTCTGGAAGTTTGTTGAAAATGTCTAAATTTTATACGATTTCAACAACTCTCTAGTTGGTTACGATTGAGTATCAAGGTATCAGTTGAACTAAGAAGGGCACACTGAAATAGGAAAGTTTGTTGAAAATGTCTAATTTTTATACGATCTCAACAACTCTCTATTTGGCCACCTTTGATTATCAAGCTATCAGTTTAACTAAGAGGGGCACACTGAATTCTGAAAGTTTGTTGAAAATGTCTAAATTTTATACGATTTCATTAACTATCTATTTGGGTACCATTGAGTATCAAGCTGTAAGTTTATTTAAGAAGGGCACACTCAATTCGGAAAGTTTGTTGGAAATGTCTAAATTTTATACGATTTCAACAACTCTCTATTTGGCTATGTCTGAGTATCAAGCTATAAGTTTATCTTAGAAGGGCACACTGAATTCTGAAAGTTTGTTGAAAATGTCTAATTTATATACGATTTCAACAACTCTCTAGTTGGTCACTATTGAGTATCAAGCTTTAAGTTTAACTAAGAGGGGCACACTGAATTCTGAAAGTTTGTTGGAAATGTCTAAATTTTATACGATTTCAACAACTCTCTAGTTGGCCACCTTTGAGTATCAAGCTATAAGTTTAACTAAGAGGGGCACACTGAATCCTGAAAGTTTGTTGAAAATGCCTAATTTTTATACAATTTCAACAACTCTCTATTTGGCCACCTTTGAGTATCAAGCTATAAGTTTAACTAAGAGGGGCACACTGAATTCTGATAGTTTGTTGAAAATGTCTAAATTTTATACGATTTCAACAACTTTCTATTTGGCTATGATTGAGTATGAAGATACAAATTTAACTAAGAGGGCACACTGTATTCTGGAAGTTTGTTGAAAATGTCTAAATTTTATACGATTTCAACAACTCTCTATTTGGTTACGATTGAGTATCAAGGTATCAGTTGAACTAAGAAGGGCACACTGAAATAAGAAAGTTTGTTGAAAATGTCTAATTTTTATACGATTTCAACAACTCTCTATTTGGCCACCTTTGATTATCAAGCTATCAGTTTAACTAAGAGGGGCACACTGAATTCTGAAAGTTTGTTGAAAATGTCTAAATTTTATACGATTTCATCAACTCTCTATTTGGGCACCATTGAGTATCAAGCTGTAAGTTTATTTAAGAAGGGCACACTGAATCCTGAAAGTTTGTTGAAAATGCCTAATTTTTATACAATTTCAACAACTCTCTATTTGGCCACCTTTGAGTATCAAGCTATAAGTTTAACTAAGAGGGGCACACTGAATTCTGATAGTTTGTTGAAAATGTCTAAATTTTAAACGATTTCAACAACTCTCTTTTTGGCCACTTTTGAGTATCAAGGTATAAGTTTAACTAAGAGGGGCACTCTGAATCCTGAAAGTTTGTTGAAAATGCCTAATTTTTATACAATTTCAACAACTCTCTATTTGGCCACCTTTGAGTTTCAAGCTATAAGTTTAACTAAGAGGGGCACACTGAATTAAGAAAGTTTGTTTAAAATGTCTAAATTTTATACGATTTCAACAACTCTCTAGTTGGCCACTATTGAGTATCAAGCTATAAATTTAACTAAGAGGGGCAAACTGAATACTGAAAGTTTGTTGAAAATGTCTAAATTTTATACGATTTCAACAACTCTCTATTTGGCTATGTTTGAGTATTGAGCTTTAAGTTGAACTAAGAAGGTCACACTGAATTCGGAAAGTTTGTTAAATTTTGAACTGTTTGTTAATTGATTATTGGCAAAAAGGAAGTATCTTAACACAAAATCTTTGACTTTGCAAGTTATACTGGCCTGGATATACTTCAATGTTGCCGTAAGGCTTTTCCATTCAAATCAAATGGTAACTGTTCATGTCCATAAAGGGTGACTTTCAGTAGCTCTTTTTTGAAAGATTTAATATACCATGAGTCAACAATATCGCATGAACAATGTTGAGAAGATCACGTCTATTTAAATCATAAGTATTGCAGAGCAGAAAATAGTGCTCCGTGTCCTCAACACTATCATTTGTTGGGCATAAAGGGTTCAAAGAATCCCTAAAATTATCTTTGAATTTATGAAAATTTAGCTTACTGAGTCCAACCCGTAGCTGTGTTAGGACGGATAAGTCTTTTGGATCATAAATACGATAGACCGGCTTTGGGGCTGGGCGGTTAATTGACAGTAAATTTTTCATGAAAAGATTCACAGAGCTGGATAGTCTAATTTCAGGGTCGAGCCTTCCCCATTCCAATAAGCAGTTTAGATAGAAGCTTGATTTGAAACCTAGCGTTATTGCACGTATTTGCCCATTTGTAGCACGTCTGCAAAGATCATAGCAGGCCTCTTGTAGATGAGGATGTATATATATATATAACAAAATGTATATTTCTACTAAGTCTATAAATTTATTCATATTATTTTGGGTATCAGACTGTTGAATTCGTTAGCAAAAGACTGCCATAACAAATCATCTCAACCTATAAATTCTATATTGCAAATAGGTGCTGTTGAATAAGAATTGGGGAAACAAGGATTCATTGGCTTTATGCCCCTTTTTCAGACCTTTAAGCTATACCCTCGTATTTATGAACAACTTCTCTTTTATAACGTATGGAGGACATTTAAAAATGGAGTAAATCTTTATATTTATGCCATATGGTTGAAAATATATAGTGCTCTATACTGACCGGGTGTTTTGGAGAAGTAGTTTAAACCCCACGGCAATTTTTGTCCAGTTTAATTTCTAGGGCGCTGGACGTTCGCCCCGACTCAGTTGCCCCATTGGCGAAAACAGCCAACACCACGAGAAGGCGGGGATGAGCTGCAGAGGAGAGGCTATATGTTGCGCTAGGCATTTCTCACTGTTTACTGTGAGACCTATATCACTCTGCCTTGAAGGCCAAAAAAAGGTTCCTCGTCGGGGGCTAGCCAACGAAGGTATCCCTTTGTCTCCTAGGAATACCCTCTATCTGACAAGCGTTGTGTGCAACGTCAATAGACGGAGACCGGCACCACAAGTCAGAGTACAGGCTAGCCCCCACCATATCCCTTTGTCTCCTTCGGGATACCATTCTGACAGTGTTGTGTGCGACGTCAATAGACGGAGACCGGCACCACTTATCAGAAGGAGGAACTGAAGGCTCATTGGCGCCATTCAGTTTTATATGTGGCAGAGGGATTGTTTGAAACTAACCAATAAAAATGAACGATATTAAAATAACAATATGGGATCCTGTCAATCATGCTGGCTTGTTGTTCTTATCAACCAATCATATCATTGTAAAGAGGGTGAGGCAAGAATGCTTTGCCATGAAAGACCGCCAAAACAGAGACCTTCGAAAAGCCCGCCAAATTTCGTTGAACAGAGTCCCGCCATGATATTTTGAAGATTTATTTTCTGTGAAATCCTTGGTTTACTCAGTGATTCTGTAAACTCTTACCAATAAACGGAAAATGAGGTAAAGAACGTTTATTCTCTTCTTGGACATTGATTTATTTATCTCTTTAAAGGTGAAATTTGAATTCCTGATCTATCTGCTTCTTGTTGTCGCTAAACACAAAGCTTGTGTTGTAATCAAACATGGCCAAAAATTTAAGGCGATGCATTGAAGCCCCCCGGTAGAAGGGCAGGGTTGCAGCTTATACAGTTGCTTCGCTTTTGTATTTGTAAATATCACTTTCACCCCAATGCCATATGTATCCAGCAATAAAGAACAGCCTAAAGCAATTCGCGATAACAAAGTTTCGCGAAATTAGAACCATAATTAGGTATTATTGTTTCGTATTATGAAAGTCTAGTATAAAACAGATTTGAAACTTATAGAAAGACTACGATGGATAACAGTTTGTAAATCAGATTGTTTTACTGATTGACTGTTGCACGAATACCCTAAACATGGAACCAAGCAATGTTTTGAATTTTATTTGGCCTTTGTATCTTATTGATCATAATTAAATTTCCAAGATAAAGATTTTTAAATAGAATGCCTTGTAAAATATCTATTCTAAGGACGGCCAGAATATGCATCTAATATTGAAAACATTGACAAGATCCTAGGCAATTATCGCTAGCTGTTCTTAATAATTATGACCCAAGGACACATTAAAGGCACTTATCTTTAGTGGCACCTGTTTTTAGGGGTACTCTAACAAAAACTCTATAAGTATAAAAAGCTCGTTTAAGGGACAACATAACAAAGTTTCCATTGAGATTAAAAAGGCTATTTCTGTAAGCCTAGCTTGAACGATGTAGATAGCACTTTCTAGCTTCGTGGTAGGCATTGCCACCACCTAGATTATCTATAGAGCTTTTGGAGGCCCTGTTGTAAAACGTGCGAGTTCGAGATTGTAAAGATCAAATTGTTATTGATGCTCTGCATGGTTATGGCCAAATTTTGGGTCAGGTTCATCGACTGTTTAACTATTCGAGTAGCTAACCTAATGTACGTATCCTAAGGCAGAATTGTTTATTTGCAAATAAAGATCAAATTGAATCGTCATGCAATAGATGATTATTGAATCGTCATGCAATAGATGTTCTTTTGATGGCTAGAACATACCACAGGCGGTTCCAAGGAGAGTATAGGGGGGGGGAGGTAAAATTTAAATTTGAAACTGGTGACACGATTTATTTTTTCCTCTGAATTTTTAATGTTCCCCGATTTTAGAGTTTAAACAGAATCCAGTTTCGAAGTTTCGTAAAAATTATATTTCCTCCACATCGAATGTCTTTTTTACCTATAATTTGAGGCCCCACTGATCTCAAAACAGTGTGCGGATTTCAAGCTGCAGCCTCGTTTCCGGTATAAATATGTCGAATGAAAATGGCGGTCGTCCACATGGATCAACAACCAATTAAAACATTATTTCAAGGTAAGGAAAACAAAATATTATCACGGTTTTGTTTGAAAAAGCTTTCTATAAAAAGCAGTTCTTTTTCAGATGAAGGTTTAAAAAACCCCTAGCTTTATTTGTATGAGCCAGCAAAGAACGAAAAGCAAGGCTCAGTCTCTGTAATGTGGGGCAAATGCATTCGCTAGATCATTTCAGTGTGGCTAACTTTGCGTGCGGAAACTTGAATTTTCACACAAAATTTTGATTTTCAAAATTGTTCTGTAGGAGGCACCTTAGAATGTGCTTAAAGAATGGCCATTAAAAGTATCTATTATAGACACCCGCACCAGTTCAATAGGGATCATAGATGAGGCTTTTCCCAGAAAACTTCCTCTGAAACAATGTCATTCAGAAAACCACGAGATTTCTTGTCCTAGGGGTCTGCATAACTTTGGTACATAGCACATTGAATAAAAATTTAATTGCACAATTTATGCAACCAGTGGGCTTCAAATGATTTCATGATCTTCTTTGCTTTACATTCATCAAAAGCACTTTTAACGGTGTTCAGAATGTATTTTCACGCATTTAAAGGGTTTTCAAGCGAAAAAGAATTTTTATAAAGTTTTTGGATTCTTGAACTTTTTTGAAACGTCTGTGGTCACAGATATTTTTGAAAAATTACTCATGTTCTTCTTTCGAAATATGATCTAGAAATTCATCAAAAAAATTTCTAATGGTTTTGATAATGTATTTTTACACATTTCAAGATTTCTCAAATGACAATAAAATTTTGCAAAATTTTTGGATTCTTTTTATTTTTCTAAACAGGTCAGCAGTCACAGCTATATTTAAAAATGTTTGTGCTTCTTTATTTGAAAATATTTAATAGAAAACTCCCAAGAAGTGCTGTTAAGAACATATCATGAGGCTAATTCGGTTGTTTGGAGTGAAAGTTTTACCTTTATCAAACATTGCAATATCTTTAATCTTTTTGCAGGTCATAGTTTTTTAATGTTGATGAATTTTTTTTTCAGACATCACTTGGAAGATAACAGAAATGTCTTGAGAAAGCTAAATGGAGGTATTTTTTAGTTTTTTCTTACTTTAAGACCATGAACTTTATTTAGAAGTTTTTCAAATTTTTGAAGCTCTTTCACAAATTCACTGTCAGAAACATTTTCAAATGACTTGGTGCTTTGTTCCAAATTTTTCCTAGCAGTTTATCAAGAGCACTTCTAATGGTGTTTGGAATGTATTTTAACTCATTTGAAGGTGTTTGAAGTGAAAAATTTTTTGTCACAGATTCTATGAAAAATTTCTTAGTTCCTTTTTCAAAATATTGTTTTTTTTATTTTGGTATCCGTCATTCCATTGGCTAACAATTTCATTCAATGAATTCAAACTATTTTTTTAGTTACATTCAAAATTGGATTCTAGGTAATAAATTGTACGCTTTCATCCAAGGATTTTAAAATCGTTAATGAATTATACACTTGGTTAATGTTATCTTTTTGTTGAAGCAATCAGAGAATTTTTAGTAGTTTTTTTATTTTGGTAGCTGTCATTCTAGATTTAGGACACTTAGCTACCAATTTCTTTAAGAGAATTTCAAATATTTTTTAATCAGATCCAAAATTGTGTTAGTATGTAATGAATTGTGCTCTAGTTTAATTTTATCCCATCCTTCAAGTAGTCAGGGAAGATTTAGGGGTTTCATTTTTTGGTATCTGATATTCTTAAAATAAGACAATTGGTTACTAATTTCATACAGTGAATTTTTTTAATTAGATTCAAATTTGCATTCTACCTAGTGAATTGTGAGGTGGTTTAATCTTATCCTGTCCTACAAGCAGTCAGATAATTTTTAGGGGTACCTGTCATACTTAAAATAAGACCATTATGTACAAACACCATGGTACACTCTCCTATGCCAAAAAGCCGAAAACGGTCTATCTTGTGGGACTGAATACGTTGTGAATCTGAGTTGGTTTCAACATCACTGCTATTTTTCAAAGCATCTTGAACATTTAGTAGTTCGGACATTTTGCCTTACTTTTAATGAATGTTTCATTAATTTTCATGCAAATAATACTTTGACAATTATCATGTAAGTAAGGTCAGAGAAAGAACTTATATTGGACAATTAAAGAACTATCCCTTAAACAGAGAGCATTGTATTCAATAGGACCCTGTTCTAATTTATCACAAATAGTCTAGTGGTTGATTTTAAAATAGACTTCCTTGGATAATAAAGCCAACAATGATGTTAAATTACTTTTCTAAGGTCTAATTTCTGTTCACACCTGCAAAGTATATTCCAGTACAAGGGGAAGTTGTTACCTGTTTGAAGGCTTTAGTATAGGGGTCTTAACTGGAACTTTACTCTAGAAAGTCAGAATTTCAGGAGATCTCAAGAGACATGTTTGAATTGGCAAACTGAAACCAGTGAGAACCAAACCCCCCATTACAATGTTTCAATGTAGGGTGCGCGAATGACGAGAATGATTACTAGAAAATCGATTAAAACCATCAAATAGCATTCTGCCTGTGGACATTAATTCTAAGAGTAAGGTTGTATTGAAAGGTAGAACAATTGCATCAATGATTGCATTTTCCAGCGAACTAGGATCAGTAAAATTCGAAAATTTATCCGCCTTCTGCGGTAACTATGGTGCCGCCTCAGGTATTATCTTTCTTGGACTTGTTTACTGTGACACGAACAATAATTTGCAAACTACCATATTATTAAATGACGTCTTTTTATTACTCAGAAAAGTTTAGAATATTGAGAATATAGAAATATCACGGAAAGATCTACAAAGAACTTTCTTCATTTATGTCTTTGTTTTTTAGGGACATTTTATTATAAAAGCGAGTAACCCACATCAAATATTAATCCATAATCTCTGAATAGATGCTCTTTCTTGTTTGTTAAATTCATGTCCTTTCATAATCTAAATGTTTGTGCAACTGGGATTCCATGTTTTCTTTTCGATTGCCTAACCTCCTTGTCAGAAGGTCAAGTCCCTCCGTCGGGGAATTTCTAGCGCCACCACTGCCCTGAGACCCCTAGCACTAAACCCCAGTTCGGAGTCCATAATGTGTATTGCCGGTATGAAAATGAAAGTTTTTAATGATAAAAGCATATGGCTCTACGGGGCTGACTTCATCATACTTTTTTATACAACAAAGGAAAATTACAAAAATAAATGTTAAAACGTTTTCATTCCAAAAACTCTCAGCCAAGTACGAGATAAAAAGTCCTTGAAGGCTTTACAATACTTTTACTGAATTTTTTACCTCAAAAGAACAAGCAACGAACGCTTTCGTTTCGATCAATGACATGCCGATCTTTCCTTTGCTCGGCTTAAACCCCCCCCCCCACCCCCCACCAACACCACACTGTAACAGGAATAGCCTCCTCTAATATGATTGGACAATTTAGTATCCGTAGTCTCGTTTTCGTGTTTAATTAAATGAATGAACCTATCATATTTTCTTAGCCCTTAATCATCTTTTGTTTGTATATTATTATTTAAGTGACTTATTTTACATGAAAAGGGAGTTGTTGCCGAAATGGCAAAAGCGTAACAAGAGCGTCTTTTTATGCATCTCGATTCTTTGAGGGAAACCTCTCACAACACCTTCTCAGTGCTGGCTTTGTGCCTGCTCCAAACTTTCAAAGTTTGTCTAGAATTCAAGAATTCTTATTGAGCCACTCTGAAGGAGCGTTAAGAGATGCTTCCTCACTGCATATCTGTATTGGAATACACCTCTGAAGAAAATGCAATAATCTGCAAAGTACATTTACAACGAAGCTCATATCTCGTTAGGAGTACATTAAATGCCAAAAAATTCAGTGCCAAAAGTTTCGGTTTCCTAGATATTTTTTAAGTCTCTGTGTAAATCTCGATGAGAACCAGAATGAAGAGCCAGTATAGGCGTTGGTTCAACCCATAGACTCGAATTTCTTGGATGCAGAGGGCAAAAGAAAAGAAAGTGAAGATGAGCTGCATACCTCGTAAGTTTATGTCAAAGGAGATGAAAAAAATGAAAATTGATACGCAAACAACATAAAAGATTATTTTTTTGCCATTTCGGAAGTTTAACGAAGTCAAACTAGATTTTTCTAGCGTTTGAAGATTTCGTTTGAAGAAAAAATTCCCGTTTCAAAATAATTCAGTGGGATTAATTTTTGATTGCCCTCAAACCACTCGATTTGTTTCAATATTCATGTTTTTCTTCCACGGAAGAGATTTACCTTCCCATCATGCTCGGGCACAGAGAGGTTATAGAGGCCCCTGGTGTAAAAAAGGGGAAGTGCGGATCACTTGCGAGCAAAAAGCGAGCAGAAAATCTGGTAGCCTGTGCTCCAGACCCTATCTGGCAATTACGCCCCTAAGATTTGCTTAAGATACATTTCAGAACGATTTCTCGCAGTAGTTTCGAGACGTTAAATGGTCGTCAATTATCCGACAAAAGCCCTAATTTTCTGACAAGATCGCTGATTGGGGGGGGGGAAGGGGGGCATACCCTCCATAATTTCTGGCACTGAGGGATATTATTCAAACCAGCAACAGAAACAAATTAATTTCCAGCATGAAATTTGTCCCAAAAAATTTTCCAGACGACAGTTTGCAATTTTTCTCTACTTTTTTAACATTTTTCTCATTTCAACATACCAAACAAATTACTTTAGAAATTCATGGTCCCAAGAAGGGGTTTTGTTTTACAATTGTTTCTGTTTTCCGTTTGAATTTTGAAAATCCACTGGTTACAGGAAATTACTGGAAAACAATTTTTTCTCGCAGGAGGTTTTTGTCAAATACGACGGCTATAGTCTTTAACGGAGATAACGTCTTTGATTCTAATTTTGTATTCATGTATCCCCTGCTTTTCTTCACCATCCCAGTTTTACTTTATTGAAGAATTTTGGTATCAAATATTCCATTCTCTTTTCACAGGGCACATTATATCTATAAATGAATAGCCATCTGTAATTGTGTATCTTTAAAATAAACTTTGCCGAAATTCTTGACCCAAAAAAAGTAGTCTGAGCACCCCTTACTAAGTATAATACGAGCATCGTCTCCCTTTTGGTAAAAGAGGCCCAATAATTGTAATTAAAAGCTCTTTGCTGATCACCAGCAAAGGCTTCTGGCTTGATAACCCTTTCAATAAAAGTTTTTTAAAAAGTCATTTCATATTCTCTTGCATAAAAAAGGGGAAAAAGGTAGCCACCTAACAATTCCTAAAATGCACTTAGCACCAAGCATTGAGTTGGTTGCGCTAGGCTTTCGCATATTGAACCTTCCTGAAACCATTCGATTTTGTTATTAATTTCTACCTGTTTATGTTGCGTAAGCTTTACTTTTAACTGAGCTCATGAACTAAACTCCCCCCTCCCCCCTGGCCCTCCAATTATGTCTACCCTGCTACGTGGTATTGACTTTACTGTATTTCCATTATCCTTGTAAAAACTATGGTTTTCAGCATGCTACATAGTCCTTAAGAATTCGATTTTCAAATAGCCCCTGGACCTGAAACCTTTGAGAAATGGAACACGTGATGGAAGTCTTTGTTCTGAGTCTTCATCATTCCTGTAAAATAATGGGTAATATATTATTAATGCATTAAAACTATTGGCTTTTGGTGTCAATATATAATGTGTATCTCAATTAGCCATATTCTTAGAAAAGCATTTTACACTACTGACTGTGCGATTCTGCTGTAAAAGTTAGAAGCATATGGCACCTGAGAACAAAGAATCCCTGAGAACAGAGAACAAAGAGTACCCTGACTGGGGTCTTGTTCCAAGTTTTTAAAACTACAACCAGAAATAAAATGCCTGCCCTTTTTTCTCCAACTTTCTGGGTGTTTGTCCAAAAGGGACCACAGTTGGCAAATAGAGAAGGAGAGTCACATGGCACATTACAGAAAACAGTTCAAACCCCAGCCCAGATATCAAAACCCTTTTTCTTCGTAAAAACTCTCAAAATATGAATTCTGTTGCAGATCATAATACTTGGTTACGGAGAATTGTGTATGAATGACGAGGAGCATGGTAAGTGCTATTTTGTTCACTTTTTAAGAAAATACCTGCTTTGTCTTCCTAATCTAAACATTTGATTCTATTCTTTTTATTTTTCTTTTTTAATACTTTAGAGCATTATTTTTTGTTCTGCCCCCGTCCTCTTTTCGTTAAATTAATCCTTGATTGTCTTCTTTTGAAAGTCTTTCTTTAAATCCATTAAATCTTTTTATTTTTCTTTTTTTCTCTTCAATACTTTAGAGCATTATTTGTTGTCTGCCCCCGTCCTCTTTTCGTTAAATTAATCCTTGATAATCCTCACTTGAAACTCCTTCTTTAAATCCATTAAATCTTTTTTTTTTTTTTTTTTTTCTCTTTGATACTTTAGAGCATATTTTTGTGTTCTGCCCCGTCCTCTTTTCGTTAAATTAATCTTATAATCCTCACTT